CCATCGTCCGACCTAAGACTGCTCTAAAAATCCGGGCTACCATCCTTGTGTAGGTGGCGCCGGAGTTCTTGAGCCCAAAGGCCATGACGAGGTAGCAAAAGATTCCCTCCGGGGTCATAAAAGCAGTCTTCTCCGCGTCATCTTCGTGCATGGATATCTGGTGGTACCCTCTGAACGCGTCGAGGAACGACATCAACTCGCACCCCGCCGTCTCATCCACCAACTGATCAATGTTGGGGAGAGGGAATGGGTCCATCGGGCACGCCTTGTTCAGGTCAGTGTAATCAACACACATTCTGAACGTGGGCGGCTTTGGTGCGAGGACGACGTTCGCCAACCACGTGGGGTACTTCACCTCTTTTATGTGCTTGATGGAGAGCAGCATGGCCACCTCGGCCTTGACAAATTCCCTTCTGTCGGCTGAGAGGTAGCGCTTCTTCTGCTTGATGGGGGAGGAGGCCGGGTTCACCGATAGCCGATGTGTGATTACCTTCGGGCTGATGCCCGGCATGTCCTCTGGTCCCCATGCGAAGACGATGGCGTACGCTCTCAGGACAGAGAGGATGTCCCTTCGGATCTGTTGGGGGAGCTGTGTCCCAATCTTCAGCGTGCGTTCCGGCCGGGAGACGTCCAACGGAACATCTTCCACGTCTCCGACCGGTTCGGCCTTTAGTGTGTCTTCTTCGGCCGAGGCGGTGGTGATGGTATCTATCCGCTCTTCGGCCTCATTGATCTTTCTGGTGAGCTTCAGGTAGCAAGCTCGGGCTATCTTCTGGTTCCCTCTGGCGTAGCCGACGCCGTCCTTGGTGGGGAACTTGAGGCATAGATGTTTCATGGAGATGATGGCCTCAAGGTCCTCCAAGGCCGGTCGTCCCCAGATCATGTTGTGGGCGCTGTCCAGATTGACAACCACGAACTCCATGTCAATCTTCGCCTGACAGGTACCGTCACCGACCACAACGGGAAGCACTATCGTGCCCTCGGCGTCGATAGAGTCCCCGGTGAAGCCGGATAACGGAGTCCGTATCGGCCGGAGCTCGGTCTTCTTCAACTTCAGCTGTCTGAATGTATCAACGTACATCACATTGACAGAGCTGCCAGTGTCGATGTAGTTGCGGTGGATGATGTTGTTGCCAATCTCGCATTTGACGACGAGGGCGTCCCTGTGGGGCAAGGGGCCGAAGGGGAGGTCCTTGTCGGTGAAGGTGATGGCTTCCACATGCCGCCGCTTCGGCTGAGGGGGGGCGTGGGTCACCTCACCAACGTATAGGGACTGAGCCCATTTTTTCCGTTGGGTAGCCGAGTCCCCCCCTGTGTTTCCGCCGACGATGATGTGAATGTGATGCTTCTTCTGGCGGGGCTCCTCTTCGTCCTCATCTTCACTGAGGGCGCCGATCTCCCTCTTTTTTCCGGAGGATCCTTCCCCCCTTTTGCCAGGGTTGACCCAAGTGTTACTCTTGGGGGCACCCTTGACAAATTGGGAAAGTTCCCCCTGTCGGACGAGGCCGTCAATGTGCCTCTTCAAGGTGGTGCAATCCTCGGTCTTGTGGGATGTCTGGCGGTGGTACTTGCAGTATGTCCCTCCCTTGTGGACCGCGAATATCTCCTCTTCTGACCTGGGATCCTTCACAATGAGGCCCTGCGCCTCGGCGTGGTCGAGGACGACGCTCACCGGGTGGGTGAGGGGGATGCGCTGTGCCTCCAACTTTGGGCGCCATGAGCGGTCGTCTCTTCGCTGTCCGCCTTGCCCCTGGTGTGCCTTCTTTGGCTGGTGCTGTCCCTTGTTGGCCGGCGGGTGGTGGGGGTTGGACGAGGAGTCCTTCTTTTGTTGCTTCTCCCCACCCTTCTTCTGGTTCAGGAGCTCGTCGGCATCAGCGTGCCTATCTCCGCGTCGGAGCGCCGCGAGGTATGACCGCGGCGGCTCCGTGAACAGGCTCCGGGCGAAGTGGCTAGGCCAGAGTGCTCCGCGGAGGAAAGCCAAGAGAGTGCGCTCGTCGGCCCCTTCACATTCGTCCGCCTCCCTTGTCCAGCGATCGAGGAAGGCTCGGAGTGTCTCCTCCGATTGTTGTTTGATGGTCAGGAGGTGGGCGAAATGCTTCTTCGCACGCTTCCTCCCGGCAAAGTGGGTGAGGAAGCGCTGAGCAAGATCCTGCCATGAGTCGATGCTCCCCTCCGGAAGGTTGTTGAACCAATCGTACGCTGGTCCTTCCAAGGTGGATAGGAACCAGCGACACATGTACTCCTCCGAAGCGTTGGTCATCATCATATTGTTCTGGTAACGGGTGAAGTGCTCCTGAGGATCAGTGCGGCCGTCATATGGCTTGATCGGGTTCCCCTTATACTTCTCTGGGATGGGAGCGGAGAGCACCCTCGCAGAGAAGGGGGTTCTGGTCCGTATCTGGATGACGGGCTCATCGCGTCGGTCAGCCAACTCCCTTTCCAGAGCACTGACCTTGCTCAGGAGTGCGTCGTAGTTGGGATGCTGGGATGTCTGGGCCGATGCGCGCCCTGCGGCCTCTCGGGCCTCCATATCTGCGAGGCGCTTCTCCAGGCGGGCGATGATCTCGTCCCTCGGGTCCGTGTTGGCCGCAGCGCCACCCAGCGGGGTTTGGATCCGGGCCGCGTGAGCCAGGTTGATCTGGTGACGCGCATCATCATCATTCAGTTTTCCCTTTCCTTTGTCTTGTCGGGGCCGATCCGTTGTCCGGGAAACGGACCCGAAGCTCTCCTTTGGCGACCCCGGCTCGCGGCCACCCAACCGACCCGCCACCCCTCCCGTAGGTACCCGACGGCTCGCGATGTCACTCAGCCTGTTGAAGGCTGAGATTTTACCGCGAGGTTGGGCCGGTGTATCCCGGGTAGGCGAGGCAGTGTGGGAATGGGTGTCCACGGCGAGGACGTCCTCGTTGTCACCGAAGAAGGTGACGCCTTGCGGACGAGGTGGCGGTGGCGGCACCGTTGCGACCTCTCCAGTTGCCGGAGTGTTGTTCTCCCCTGTCTTTGCGACGAGAGCGCTGACCACGTTGGGGTCCTGGAGAATGCTCGCGACGATGGCCGATAGTGCGGCCGGGTTGATCTGGGGGGCAGCAGGGTGAGAAGCCTGCTGGCCCGAAGCGCGATCAGCATTGCGCCTGTCCTCGAGCCCGATGCGGGCGTCTGGGGCAGTCTTGTTGAGCTGGACGCGAAGGTCAGCCGTCGCGTGCTCGATCTCCTGGGCGTTCTCATCCTGGTTGATGAGGTCATTGGGGACGTTGTCAGCAACGTTTCCCTGCCCTTCCTGGTTCAGAGGGGCATTCCTACCAGTGTTCTTCGATCTAGTCCTTGTCATAGCTAGTGGTAGTGTCTGGTAGCGACGAAGGGTACTCACTTGATCTGTTCTAAGCTCTCAATGAAAGCACCAAATGATAGAGTATTAATTCTAGAGAGAAGTGAGAGCTAGAGAGAGAAAGTGAGTAATTATATTTCTCAACCCCCTATAACTAGCCCCAGGGGGTCTATTTATAGGCAAATATGTGGATTTGGGCTCCTAGTCATGGGCTTAGGAGGCCCATTACAATAATCATGCCTTCTTTGGGCGAAATAGGGCCACTAATGGGCCGTGTACAATACTTAGTAAATAAAGTGGAGAGATGCATTCTGCCCGGACGGAATCGGGCCGATGCGGTGCCTTTTGGCCGATGCGGTCTCATGGCCGATGCGGTCCATGGGCCGATGCGGCCCCCCGGGAGTCCAGCTGTGATTCTTGGACTGGCTTGGCTTCTGGCCGATGCGGACCTACTGGCCGAAGGGGCCACGTGGGTGTTCTTCTGGTCACCGTTGACTTGAGTATGCGGGCCGTGGGGGTCCAGGCCCATATACTCTATCACTATTCTAAACCAATTATTCTGTTAAATTAAAGGCATACATTTTAACTTTTAAGCAGTTCTGCAGAATTTCTAAAAATGACTATGTGGTATCAATTTAAGAAGCAACTTTATCAAGTTGATGTTTCATTAAAAATGTAGACTTAGATAGGATCAGTTATTCAATGACATATATGGCAGTTTGTGTTTTTTATTTCATTTGATGTCATGATGTGAGATCACCCAAAGTGTCAGCAAAATGGTTGCTCAAAGAAATAAACCAAGGTTTGAAGTCCTTGTGGTCATTTATTTAGGCTTACTAGACTCAAATAGTTAGTTTAAGCAGAAAGACAGTATATAATGAATGTTGGTTTGTTCTCTATCAAACTCGGTATACATTGATGGTTGGATTGTTCTCTAACAAGCTCACTTCATGAACCTGAAACTGATTCCGATCACCATTGTCTTTTTTATTTATTTTGGGTAAGGATCATATCATAATTTTCCATCATTTGCAATGGAGCCAAAGACTCATTATTTTTTGGCTTGAAAATATGATGGAATAAAGCAAAATGGCTCACTAAACTGTCTGCGCTTCTTTGTTATGAAGCTGCAGTCAGTCCACGCATTCTGGATGCGATTTTCACTATGGGTCATCCGGAAACAGTCTCTCTGTACTTTAGTACAGGGGTAAGACTGCGTACATCCGACCCCCCCCTTAACCCACTGTAGCTGGGAGCCTTTGCGGCACTGGGGTAATGATGATGATGAAGGATCATATCATAACTGCAACTAGCTGAACACTGTAGTCCGGGTTTCTTATAAGAATCAATACCAAACAACAACTCTGGATTAAACCCATTCTCCTCATAAGACAATAAGTTGTAATTAAAAGAGTTCCAATAATCAACATGATCTTTTTCCCAAACACCTCAAAGTTGGACATCTTAGCAGAACTCCTAAGATAAAAGAACAAAGTTTAAGAAATGACCGATTATGTCTCTTTTACTTGGATAGTTATAAAAATACAAAGAAACCAGACCTTACCAGACCAGACCAGTTCAGAACAGACCAGACCAGCAAATTACAGTCCAAGTAAAAACATCCTTACTGATCAAACAGTGTAAGCTTTGAAACTACTTCGTAAAGAGAAACGCACCACAGTCCGGATGGTGCGGCGGTTGAGGAAAGGGCCGAGAGGGAAAGGGAATCCAGTGAAATTGACATAGAGCCTCCCACCGCCGCCGCCACTCTTGGACGCCGAGTTTCCGGAAGCGGCGGAGGTTACTTCCAAGCTAACAGCACGTCTCCCTCTGCCTCTCCTCGGTTGCATCTGTAAAGAGATGCCCTTTAATGGCGACCCGAGGCTAAAACTGGAGGTTAACTCATTGAGAGGTGATGATGGGCTGTGTCCGGCGGTTACTTTTGGTGGGTGTATAGCCGCCATGGCTGTAGCCATTTCTGTTAAAACGGGTGGTCAATGCTGAAGAACAAAGAGATTGCGGTTCATAGAATGTGAGAGAGCGGGTGGCGGGTTCTCCAGGTTGCATTTTTGACACGTAAACAGAACTACTTCTCATTGCAACTGCTTAAAAAAAATCACTTCTCAGCTTTTGGCTTTAAAAGGCACTTATTTACCAAACATTACCAATTTTTACTTTTTCTCGGTTTGCGTGTGAAAAGTGATTTTCCCTTTTCTATTACACAAAAAGCACTTATTTTACCAAACACTATCAACTTTTACTTTTCAAAATCACTTTTTTCTCAAACACTATCAACTTTTATTACTAATCACTTTATCCTTACATCTCCAAAAGTGCTTTTTTTTAAGCAGAAGCAGTTGCAAACACTCCCTTAGAATTGATGAAATGGATTGTGGGCAAGTGTAAAATTGTGAATACATTTGTAGTAGAAAATCATTTTGGCCTTTTTTTATGGAATCACTTTTCTTTCTTAAAAAAGAAATAGAGTAACATTTATTTGAGAATAACTCAAACAAGGAAAAACTTAAATATTTTTTTAATCCCTGCAAATATGACACACTTTATTCTAAGTCCATACATAACATTTTTCTTGTTCTTCATCCCTGCTATATCCACTATTTTGTTTTAGTCAATATCTAATTCCGGAACTACTGTACTTACAATAAAAGTTACTTTCAGTTATATAAATCTACTAGAAATATATAAATTTGTCCTTTTATAATTTTTGTGAGGCTTATATGAGAGTTAAAACATTTTAAAACTAAGTATTCACATTTTAGAAAATCTTCTAAAAAGTTAAATTAAATACTTTTTGAATAACAAGATAAAGAATAAGAGGAAATCTATCAATCGGGATTATTTTGAAGTGAAATGGAGGTTGTTATCATCCGTGATGGACCAAAAAGAAAACAAACATAAATTGCAGGGACGAAAAACAAAAACGTATTTTACAAAGATGTAAAACAAATGTACTATATTTGTAAGGATCATAAACAATAGTAGTAAATTTTTTTGAATTAGTTTATTGAACAAAAAGGAAATTACAGAAAGTAGGATGACCAAATCAATGCCTACTCCCAAATTATAGAATTACATAAGGAAATTCAATGGCATCAAATTTCAAGATATTCGTGAAATGGGTAGCTTGAGAGTTGTTTCCTTAGCTAATGTACGCTAATGTATTGTGTTACCCGTTAGACTGCTTTGTTACTGACCTTGAGTGGAATGGATTGACGATTCAAATTCCTCCTAATGCGTGTAATAGTGTAGATGTCATCCCAATAGCCAATAGAGTGCGTCGTAATTGCTAGGCCGGCCTTCTTGTCATCAATTTGGATGGAATCAATCACCTACTGATTATCACTACAAAATATCAAGACATAAAGGATGCAACTAATGATAGCAAGTTGGGGAGATTTGGCAATAATCCTTTGGCAATCATGAGCGATTGCCCTTGTGATTCCTAATGAGGAAGGCCGTACTATGAGCAAGGATCATAAACATATTTAAACCAGAAGGAAATAAACATGTTGCCTATTTTTGGATACAATATTATTTTTTTTTTCAAATACGGATTAGTGCTCCACTGCTCCCTCTCATATATTCAGAGCAAGTTACAACATATTCCAATCTCCAAAATATTTATACCCTGCAACACTTCCTTTTCTTGATAGATTTTCATCTAAAATATCTAATTAAAATTAATTTTTCTATCTTTTCATTTTATCTTTCATATTATTTTGTTATAAATTCAAAAGGAGCATATTGGGCAAATTATACCGTATGACCGGCATACCATGCGCATGGTATGCCCGGTCCAAATACGGCACCGTTTTATTAATTGAAAAAGAGACACGCATCCATGCACTACTCCAGCCACCCTATTCGTCGATTCCATCACAACTCGTGTGAGCTTTCTCCATTCTTCTCCTTTTCCTCCTCCACTTCCTCCTTCTACTTTCTTTTTTATCTGTTAATGAATGAATCAAAGCTTATTGTTCCATAAGATTTATGCATAACCCTTTTAAGATTGAAAGCAAATTCTTTTGATTTGATTTAGCAGGTCAGCGTATTATTCCAATTCAGATTAATCTGAATTTTTCCATTCTCCTGTATGTTGATTTCACAAGTTACATCCCATTGTTCCTATTAGAGTATATTATCATTATTTGCTCGATTTTATATTTTGTAATAACAAACTTGTTAATATGTTAGCTTGGAAGTTAAGCCAAGTAGTTAGTTAGCTTGGTGGTTAGATATTTTGTCAGTTGTCACATATACTTGTAATCAGTCTATAAGTACGATCATCTTCCTCTAAGGAAGAATAATGAAGTTTTCATTTTTCCTCTTCATCATTTCACATGCTCATATGATAATAGTTCCCAAGTTACATTCGAATACGCTAAAGTTACATTCACACATTACATCAGATTTGTTCCCAAGTTACATTTGAATCAAAGCAGTTTACATTTCAATGAGTTACATTTGAATCAATTGAATGAGTATAATTTATATCTTGATAAACTTGAAGTTACATGTGGATTCACACGAGTTGCATTTCATATAGCCATGGGAACATGGTGTTCAAACTGCACCGGTACCACAGTATACGTACTCAGCATATTGAGTGTTAAAATAAGGCCACCAGTCGATAGTTGGACACTTGGACATAATTAAAATAAATGAACCTTTTGTTAGAATGGACAATTGGTAAACAATAAACCTAAACCATTTATTGGGTCGGTTTTACTAGTTTCAGTTTTATTCAGTTCAGTTTTGAATGAGTTCAATTTCTGTGTTTAGTCGGGTCAGTCTGAGTTTATTGATTTTTTTGTTCAGCTCCGGTGGAGTGATTACACACCACTATTTAAATTGTATTGTAAGGAAAATAAATGAAAAACGAATCAACAAATAAATATATACTCAAAGACGTTGAAAAAATCTGTTGATCTTGACGATAAATTCGTGTCCCTCCCCTAAAGTGCGTTGTTCTTCACTATTATGCTACGTCCTGAAACTCTTTTCAACCCCTTTTCCCTAGCCAAGCCTCCCATATGTGCTACTTCTTCCCATTTATGTTGTCCAGCGTACAAATTTGACACTAAACTATAAGCACTCGCATTCCCAGGTTCCATACTCAACAGCCGTCTCCCTGCACATTCTCCCATCTCTCCCTTTCCATTAACCATGCATGAAGCAATGAAAGCCCCTAATGCCGAAGCGTTTTCTCTCAACCCCTCACACTTCAGAAGGTAATCCGCTTCCTCCAGCATCCCTCCTCGGCTTAGCAAATCCACCATGCACCCGAAGTGCTCATCCGTAGGGACCAATCTGTAATCTTCCATCATTGTCCTGAAAACAGATAGCCCCTCTGGTAATGCTCCTGAATGGCTGCAGGCCGATAACAAAGACGTGAACGTGTAGTTATCGGGCACCACTTTTTCCATCCTCATTTGGTTGAACAGTTCAAGTACACGGACACAATCCCCATGTGCTCCATATGAAGATAACATTGTGTTCCATGAAGATAAATCTCGTCCAGGCATTCTATCAAAAAGAACCCCGGCACAATTTAAATCTCCACATCTGCTATATGCCATGATCAGAGTGTTAATGATGAGAATGCCCTCTTGCACATCTATCTGCCGACAGGCACGGGCGTGTACCTCTCTTGCAAAGCTTAAAAATCCAAGCTGAGTAATCGCCTGAAGAAGAGCTACGAATGTCAACGAATCTGGATTTATGTTTTCTCTTTGCATGGAACGGAACAAAACCAAGGCTTCATTTGCCTGGCCATTATTAACATGGCCCATCATAGCCGAAGTCCATGATACTATGTCCTTTTTTGTTATCCTCCCAAACACTTCACTCGTGTGTTTAATTAGACCACACCTTGAATACGTCTCAATGAGCTGGTTAGCTATGTCGGTGGTAGATTCAAGCCCTGATTTGATCAGGAAGCAATGGATGACACTTCCTTGGGTGACATCTTTCATATCAGATATTGCAGAGAGTACACAGATGATCGTACTTATGTTTGGCTTGAAATCCAAGCGTAGCATTTCATGGAATAAGTTCCATGCTTGTTTTGGAAGACCATTTTGAGTGTAACTGCTTATCATCACATTGAACAGGACCACATCCATGCGATCTGCTCTATCAAATACCATTTCAGCATGGACCAAATGGTCGCATTTTGAGTACATATCGATAAGAATTGTATTCGCTACGAGATCAAGGTTAATACCAGATCGGATGACATAAGCATGTATGCTCTTTCCCCCAAGCAAGTACTGAAGATCAGCACAGCTTGATAGTGCACTTGTTATAGTGATCTGATCAGGTTTGTGGGTGTTGTCTGTCATTAGTTCAGCAAATAGTTCCAAAGCCTCCAAAGGCTGCCCTAACCTGAGATGGGCAGTGACCAAAGCGTTCCAAGAACCAATACTCTTTTCACTGATATTCGCAAATACAGCAATGGCCTTTTCTGGGACTTCACATTTTATATACATGTCCATTAGAGTTGTCATGAAAACATCATTTGAACAACCAATCCCTCTTCTGAGAGCATACCCATGGATTGCATTTCCCTCTTCCACTGCTCCCAAAGAAGATGCTGCTTGAAGTAAGCTAACCAGAGTTACCCGGTTTGGTTCAAGGTTTTTCCTCTGCATCTCACATGCAATTCTAAAAGCCTCATAGGCATACTGAAAACCCAATTGAGCACATCCTGTAATCATCACTGTATAAACAACTACATCTTTTGCAGTTATTTCATCAAACACCTTAGCTGCATCACCAATGGCAGCTCTATCTGAATAGAATTTGGCCAGAAACGACCCAACGTTTTGATTTGTATTCAACCCGAGCTTCACTGCATCCACGTGAACAGCTCTCCCGAATTTGAAATCACCCAACTTGGCGCAGCTCTTCAGGGTAAAAATTGCTGCTGAACCATAGACATGGACGTTCCTTCTCTTCAACTCTACATACAACCTGAGGACTTCGTGGTAGTGAAACGCCTTGAAATAACCAACAAAAGTCAGATTCCATATAAAAATGGATATTCGATCGCTGTCCGTGAATCTTCCAAACAACCATTTCGATTCGGGTAAAAGATTGAACTTTGCGTAGCTATTGAGAAGCTTAGAGCCCAAAGCCGAGTCTTGTTCGAAGCCGCGTGTTAGGATGCAAGTATGTAGCTTCTTCAGTGAATCTGCGTCCGAACAGTTGTCAACAAAAGAAGCAAGCTCTGTAGATGATGAAAGTGAAGTAAATGGTGGGTTCTTTCCGATTAAACTAGAAAAGAAGAGAGGGCGAGGCCGTCTGAAAGAGAAGAATACCTTGGGAATTTCAGGGTGTAGAAGAACTTTCATATCACAAAATCGAATCTGGAAGAACTCTGAGGGCCCTACGATTTTATTGTACTGCGCCCGAGCTTCACTGCATCCAGATGAACAGCTCTCCCAAATTTCAAATCGACCAACAAGTCGCGGGTCTTCCTGTACATGCCAAACTCATACCTGGTTTTGTCTTGTATAGTTAATTCAGAGGTGACAAACAAAAATGGTCTATGGCAAAGATTTTTGTTTTGTTTTGGGTAATTGTCTATGGCAAAGATAATTACGGAGTACTATTATATCTTACTCCCTAAAAGAAAATTATTTGTGCAGAAATAAAATGGGGCTTGTATACAGTGGTATAAAAGGAATAATTCGTTGAGATAAATATGACTGCTCAACCATAGATGGATATGGATAGAATGTGGTGTCAATTAGCTAGTACTCCCTCCGTCCCTTAAAACTTTGTCAACTTTCCTTTTTTGGATGTCCCACTAACTTTGCCAATTTCCCTTTTAAGTAACGGAAATTGTCCTAAATAGGACTAATGAGTTCCTTAAAAGAACAAATAGGACTACTACTTTTTAAATTCCCTAAATAGGACTAAACATTGATTTTCTACCCTAAATACCCCTAAGAGTATTAATTCATAATGAAATGCTTTAATTCATAATAAAATCATTAAAAAACGTAAAAAATATTTAAAAAACGTAAAAAAATTATAAAAAATTTATAAAAAATTTATAAAATAAAAAATTTAATTTTTTATTTTTTTAATTTTTTTTTAAAAAATAATAAAAAATAGTAAAAACCCATAAAAAATGAAAAAAATTATGGATACCTTTCCCACCGCCTCCTGCCGCCTCCCACCACCACCACCTCCGATTGGTGAAATTTCTTCCACTTTTGGTAAAAAAATGTCATCTTTTTCTGAAAATGCCAAAAAGATGGCATAATTACTCTTCAATATGCCAATATTTTCATTGAATATGCCATCATTATGGCATAATTTAAAATGTTGGCATATTTTTCTCCGGTGATGGGAGCTAGTGGTGCTGGGGGTGGCAGGGGTGGTAATGTTTTTTTTTTAATTTTACGATTTTTTTTATTTTTTTTTTAATTTTAAAAAAAAAATTAATTTGTTTAAAAATATTTTTATTAATTTTCTATTATTTTTTTATGATTTTTAGTATTTTTTTTCGATTTTTATTATTATTTTTATGATTTTATTATTAATTAAAACATTTCACAAGTTACAAGGGTATATTTGTCCAAACACACATAAATAGTCCTATTTAGGGAATTTAAAAAATGTAGTCCTATTTGTGCAATTTTGCCACTTTTTAGTCCTATTTAGGGAATTCACTCTTTAAGTAAAGAATTTGTGGTTTCTGTTAATTCTCTCTCCTCTGCACAAACCTTAACCACACAGTTTTTACTTTATTAATATCCGTGCCGGTCAAACTTGGCAAAGTTTTAAGGGACGGAGGTAGTATTATGGGTATATACTTCCAGTTCTTAATTAAGTTCCTAGTTTGACTTCACACATATTAAGAAATAAATTTGACTTTACTGTGAAGTGCACTGTTTGAACACTGTTTGACACCGTTTAAACATTGTTTGACACTGTTTGCCACTATTTTACACTGCTTTGGTGTAAATCATTTGCCAAATAAGGAAAGGTTTGAAGTATGAACTTTAATATGGACCATCCCCAAAAGGAAAGTAATTACGGGACGGAGGAAGTACTATACTGACAGGATTTAATGACAAATTTTTAAAAGTTTCTTAATCTTAAAATCTTATAATCCTCAATGAGAGTTGGGGCATTTTGGTCTTGAAAATAATGTTGGTGTAATCACTTGCTTTATTGGGTGATACATTGTGTTTTGGCATGTGTACTATTTCAAAGGAATTCATTGTTCTGTTTCATTTCCGTTAATAGCTGCTGTTCTTAAACAATACGAAGTACTCCATAGGAGTTATCTAAGGACAGACGGGTCTCTAGCGTCTCCATCTACTTCGTTAGTTATTTGTTTCTTTTCTTATTTAATTTACTAGATTTTCACCCGTGCGATGCACGGGATAAAAAAATACTGCCTAAGTAATAGCTACAGAGCAATACTCCGTAATTTATTAACATTAGTAATGCATAAATGTATTAATAGAGTATTGATGAAATATATAATAAATTACGGCGCATAATCTAATATTATTGTATTATGGAATATTCAAAGAACAACATTTAAAACAAAAAAAAAACTCCAATAAAAAATATATCTACTACAATTAGTAAAGTAAATTGGGCACCTACACTCCTACATATCATCATCCAGGTTCCATAGTGTCAATTTTCTTCACAACTTGGGATCTCACTTCCATCATTAATTGTAAACAAAACTCTGAAAAATGAATACTTCTCGGTGTCCTTACTTTCTTTTAATTATTTGTAGTCCATAAATCTGCAAAAGGGAGAAACAAAATTTAAATGCTGAATTTGATTAATTTTAAGTAGGACTATAATTCTCACTCTACCCTTATATGCCCTTGAGATTAGTCAAATATGTGCACCTATGTGTCGCATGATTTCTTGTACAAATCTGAGATAAGAATAAAAATCAACAATTTATGCCTTCATCTTTCCACTTAAAATGGCAATGGGTATCATCTTTGTTATCACTTCAGGTAATGTGTGGGTGCAGTAAGATATAGAAGTCATTGACATACATTATGTAAAGCAACTCGATAGAAATATATTTCTAATTTTTTGTCAATAATTAAAATTCTATAAATATCTAAATTGAATACCATAGATTTTAAAAAACATAAAATATCTCAGTCAATACTCCAAGAATTTGAAAGCCTTAAGTGGTCCTGAAATCACCATCACTAAACCCAAAAATCAGTTGACTAAGGAAGGGATTACAGAAAATTGATTCGATTAATAAAAAGCTATTTTAACTGTAAGGTAGTATCCCTAAGGAGGATATTTACTAATGCACGAATATAAACTTATGAGATTTCATTCTCAGGTGTTACATACCTTGAAATGAATATCAACGGTACATAAACACACGCATTTGCACAAATCAGAGATGTTATTTATCAAAAAATATTTGACCTGATAGAATAGAAAATTGTGATGCTTTGTTAGTCGCAGATTAAAAGTAAAAAGAGTTCATTCATTACCTGTAACTCGTATGAGATCTTGTTGATATAGATATCAAAAACTTATCAGAAAACTACATGTATCCTATTTGTGCAATATTGCAATTTCATAACATCTGAAATAAAAAGGTAGACAATATATAAAAAGTGAAGAAATATACCTGGAGTGCAAGCACATTCAACCATCAAGATTTGCTACTATGAAGTATGAAGTGTATATACATACAGTTGACAAATGCAAGTGAAAGAGTAAGACACCTTTAATTTTGAATTTCAAACATGTGGTGTGCATTCCTAGCTTGAGACCCTCCAGCTTGTGAGATGACTCCTCCATCACCTTGAGCCACTTCTCTATTCTCTTCACTCCCTTGACTAATACACTCTGCTACCCATATTTCCGTTTCTTCATTTAGTATCTCCTTTTCCACACTTCTTGAGTGAGTGACCTGTAAATTAGGAAATGTAGTAGGAATAATAAAGCTAGTGAATTGAATAAGGCTTTCAAATTCATAGCTTCAACTCAAGATGGATTAGAAATGAATAACTACAACACTTTTAGGCAGCTTCAACTTGAAATGAATAGATGGAACTCATATTGGGTATGTTTGGCAAATAGCTTATCAGCCGGCTTTTAGCTTGTTTGACTCATTTCAGCTGTTTGATTGATCAAAGAAGTTAATAATGATGTTTGGTAAATGACTTTTAAAATTAGCTTGTTGAGTTTGAAAAGCTGGAAAAATGGATTGTTGAAGAAGCTAAGGGGAGCAGCTTCTTCATTCGGCTGGTTCAATTTACACTCTATCAGCCATTTCGAAACAACCAATTTTACCAAACAGTTATCTATAATCAGCTAACATAACCAGCCGGTCAAAACAGCTAACACAACCAGCTGTTAGGAAACAGCTGACACAACCAGCTAACAACAACAGCTAACAGCCATTTGCCAAACACACCCATTATTGCTGGAAAAATTATGATGTCAATTATCCTAATAATAGAACTACTTTCATCACCTCATTATCAATGGATTCCAATATCTCAATGTGAATATTCTCAATCGCAATTGTAATTCATTTATCTTTAGCTCAGGATGGCAGGTCAAAAGAAGTTGCTACCAAGCACCCACTTCATCACAACTTACAACTTAGAAACCAACCACATGTTTCAACTCCAAGAGTTTTGAATGATCTTTATGATCGAGAAAACCGTTGCAAGGATTAGGAGTATAACTATGTGATTACCCGGATTTGCAAAGAAAATGCCCTTATTCTAAAATCAAAAAATTTGAGTTCGTCGGCATCATCTGGTAGAAACTTGGATCTCTAGCTGCAAAACCAAATCAATCCATATATTAGAATCTTTGAATTTTAAAAGCACCAAGTATTACAAACACATAGTAGCTATAATAGACATTATTACAAACACATAGTAGCTATCAAACTTATCAACATTGAGTTTGAAAATGAGATTAGCCTACACCCAAAGATGTTTGCTGTAAAACGGACTACAAAGTACATACTAAAAACATTACAGTTATGCATAATAATTCCAGCATACCTTGACACAAGAAGCCCTGGGGAGGAAACCTTATTCATCTTCTTCTTCCTCAAGTCCGCAAGCCTCATAGCCAGATCCCAGAGATGCAGAGGCTGCGGGTCCTCCACTCGCCTCTCCGACGGTGTCCATGCGCCTTGTTGGTATCCCCTCCGCCCCATTAATTTTGGCGTCATCTCTCCGCAACCACCGTTGCTGGAAAGAGAAGCTCTGGGTCTGCCGTCTCGCAACCCCAAAATCGAAAAATAACTTGTCAAGGCACCTCGTCGCGAGCAGCTGGCCATTGCGTTGCCATGGTCTATGGTTCTGCGGTACTGCAGTGGATACAGCTAGCCGTAGATTGCCGATTATTTGCCTCGTCCATGCCAATTCTAGATGAAATCGGTGATATACTGATATCCTCTTAAGTTGCCAACTAATAATATAGCGTTGTATATACAGATAATAGATTTGATTTTTTTAGATAATGGACAAGGAATTGAACCAAGTAACCAAGAGTCCAAGAGTCTATAGGGGTGATTCTGTGTGAATGGACAACACAGTATGACAATTTCACAGTCATCAGATAAACTTTAATTAATGCTGACATTGCTTTGATCCAAGTCCCATTTTTTTAAAGTTATATGTAGATGTTGGACCCATCTTTTATTATGAGTCATTTGACCAACTGGCTACTTCTCTGCAAAAGTAGTTGACCGTCCTTATAGCTTGATTCCATGACCCGTTAGACCCATATTTTTGACCCATATTAGACATGTGATTGGGCGGGAAAATTTGCCATTTTCCACCTCTTTTTATATATAGTTAGATATTCTCTCATGACACCCGTC